TACATGGCCACATGAAATGGCATAAAATGTGAGCACACTATTCTCTAATCTTAAGTGTTTTTATTATTTTTTTTATAAACAAACTTAGGTATAAATATCAATGTGCTGCTACTTTATTCTATATGAAAGATTACACAGTGTAGATAAAAACAAAAACTATCTATAAATTCATATAATATCCCCATCTCACAGGATGGTTAGTCATAAATGGAAACAGAAGAGTACATGAAATGTTAGGCTTATCTATTAGCCTCCGTTAGCAAAATCTAAGTACATATCATGAATAGCTTACAATATTTCTGAGTATATGAAACAATTACAGAACTCAAAGTACCTTATACCATTTGATCTAAAATCACTGATAAGAAGAGAAATCACAGATATCCTAGCTCTTGTTCACATAGTTTACAGTTGGAATGTTCACCATTTGGGTATTTATTACCTGCAACCACTTGCCATAGATATCAATATCCCAGCTTAATTCTCTTAATTACAGTGTAACACGTTCTAGTGGATGGTTTATGATGTCCGCACATTTAATTATCGTTTCTAAACTTCTCATAGCTCTTTATACTCGTGCTTTCTGGTTTTTGAGTGTCGGTAACTGCTCGTCTGTCTTCCCTAATTTCCAGAAATATTGAGGCTTTTACAGCTGAGATTTGAATGCCCATTTCCAACTCAGTTTCAGGCTTATCACAAGCAGTTTTAGCTGCCTTGTGTGCGTCATCATGCTGGTCAACACCTATGTGAGATGGTATCCATACAAATGAGACTCTGAAACTCTTGTTCTGTGCATTAATAATGTTGTTTATAATAGATGCTACAACATTCTTAGTATTTGTTTTGCATGTTGGGCTTTTGGAGGCCTGAAAAACTGACTTTGAATCACAGATAATTACTCTTCTACTGTTCTTCAGTGCATTATTGGTAAGTTGTAGTGCAACTAAATTTGCGGCCTTCATGGGGAAACTGGTCTCACAAGCTTAACTACCAGACGAGACTTAATGGTTTCAGCTATCTGTCACTGTGTACCACTGCTCACCCGACACACTCATACAGAAAAAAATTATACATTGATGTGTAATTATACACATCAATGTGCTGCTACCCTATTCTATATGAAAGATTTCACATCATAGATAAAAAAAAGCTAGCTATAAGTTCAAATAATATCTCCATCTCACAAGATGGTTAGTCATACATGGCCACATGAAATGGCATAAAATGTGAGCACACTATTCTCTAATCTTATGTGTTATTATTATTTTTTTTATAAACAAACTTAGGTATAAATATCAATGTGCTGCTACTTTATTCTATATGAAAGATTACACAGTGTAGATAAAAACAAAAACTATCTATAAATTCATATAATATCCCCATCTCACAGGATGGTTAGTCATAAATGGAAACAGAAGAGTACATGAAATGTTAGGCTGATCTATTAAGCTCCGTTAGCAAAATCTAAGTACATATCATGAATAGCTTACAATATTTCTGAGTATATGAAACAATTACAGAGCTCAAAGTACCTTATACCATTTGATCTAAAATCACTGATAAGAAGAGAAATCACAGATATCCTAGCTCTTGTTCACATAGTTTACAGTTGGAATGTTCACCATTTGGGTATTTATTACCTGCAACCACTTGCCATAGATATCAATATCCCAGCTTAATTCTCCTAATTACAGTGTAACACTTTCTAGTGGATGATTTATGATGTCCGTACATTTAATTATCGTTTCTAAACTTCTCATAGCTCTTTATACTCGTGCTTTCTGGTTTTTGAGTGTCGGTAACTGCTCGTCTGTCTTCCCTAATTTCCAGAAATATTGAGGCTTTTACAGCTGAGATTTGAATGCCCATTTCCAACTCAGTTTCAGGCTTATCACAAGCAGTTTTAGCTGCCTTGTGTGCGTCATCATGCTGGTCAACACCTATGTGAGATGGTATCCATACAAATGAGACTCTGAAACTCTTGTTCTGTGCATTAATAATGTTGTTTATAATAGATGCTACAACATTCTTAGTATTTGTTTTGCATGTTGGGCTTTTGGAGGCCTGAAAAACTGACTTTGAATCACAGATAATTACTCTTCTACTGTTCTTCAGTGCATTATTGGTAAGTTGTAGTGCAACTAAATTTGCGGCCTTCATGGGGAAACTGGTCTCACAAGCTTAACTACCAGACGAGACTTAATGGTTTCAGCTATCTGTCACTGTGTACCACTGCTCACCCGACACACCCATACAGAAAAAAATAGCCCAACAGTTAGCCCACATAGCCCCCGCGTCCCCACCAATCACTCACAACCTTTTCTCAGGCTAGCTACAAATAACCTTAATATAGACCTCACTTTACTCCTAAACATTGAAACCCAGCTTACTGTTCCCCTATTTCACCTTGGCTTGATGCAACTCCTAAAACATCAATACAATTGGAAGACAACACTCCAAAGTCTGCACCAAACTCAGCTATAGCTTCAGTCTTTGCCTCAACAATTAAAAATTAACAGATGGATCTCGCATTCTCATGAACAACGCACCCTCGGTCACTAGCGCTGTATGGACCCACAATACCATCTCAAGCAGGCATGGCAGTTACCAAACCTACTATTTATTTCACAGCTGAATTACATGCCTTATACCAAGCTCTCCAAATAATCACAACATTACCAGTTGGGATAATGAATTTGATTATGAATTAATCAATTTATAATGACTCCAAGAGTGCGATTCAAGCAATTACGTACTTTTCCACAACGTGCAAAGAGTTTGTTTACCCATGCTTTCAACTTCGTTATGAACATCGATTGAACGGTTATGACACCTTTATGCAATGGGTGCCAGCGCATTGTGGTATACTCCATTATGAACTTGTAGATCAACTGGCCAAAGCGATGCACAACATTCTTTACATTACCCGTCATCCATCTCCTCACGTTTCATGTAAAGGTGCCTTTAAAGATACCATCACCCAGGATTTTGTAATGAAATTGAAAACGTCATGCTCATCTTGGTCCATAAAAAATTATTGTCTAACTTGGAAACATGTCTGATATAAATGCAGATAAACTGATGCAACGATGACCAGATTAAGGCTAGGACACACCAAACTGGAAGCACACAGCTCGAAGTACAGAACAGATATTAACGAATTCTGCATCCACTGTCATGCGCCACAAACAATCGAACACTACCTCCTTCACTGTTGCCGACATCATAGTGCCAGAGCAAACTTCAGACAAATACTTATCATATTTAAAAAAAAAACTTTTACCATCCAGCGCATATTAGGAGGAGAAGACCTTTCGTTACATGAAAAATATCAAATAGTCAAAGTACTGGCTAAATATCTCCAGTCGACTAACAAACTGAGTCATATTTGACCTGTGTCACATTTATTCCTGTCGCCACCAACAGCCAAACACACAAAACAACAGCCTCGCCGCAGCGCTAACAACCAGCTGTTGCCATAAATATAACATCAAGCCCTATACACACAGAAATCACAACAGCGAAATATAGCAAATGAACAAATCCACAAGGACAATAATGAGTATTCGAACCTACGCACGGGAAATTCCCAGATGCGCCTTAGTCAACTCCCCATCACATAGTCAAAAGAACTGAAACCTGGAGTGCTATTGCCCTCACTAGAATCCTGTAGCTTCTCCTAAGCATAACCGGGATTTCACACAATTCCACCCATGCATTCGGGCTCTGTCAACCAAATGTTCTGTCAATCAAATGTATTGAAGTAGGGGCTCTACGCCCCTACTTCAATACACACAGAAGTGTGTGAAACCTCGGTTGTGCTTCGGAGAAGCTACGGGATCCTAGTGAGGACAGTTACAAAATTAAATTAAAATGAATTTAAGCAAAATTTTATGATCAAGTCATCTCTATAAATGTCAAATGTGCCAGAAAGTTCTACATGATGTTCATCAAGTCACTAGTCGACTACAATGTCCTGCATCTTATTAGTCTCTCTAGCAATTGGCTTAAAGCTTTAGAGAAAATAAAAAATTCAGCCATGCGGATAATTCTTGGATCCCCCAAATGCACAAGAATCATCAACATGAGGGTGTGTGTGTCAAAGTAACACATGTAAAAAAAAAAAAAATCCGATTTGTCCAATTCAATACTTCAGATTTCTACTTTATAATTTCTCTGTACGTCGGTACATATACTATGGTCCTCATCGTTATTATAAGTATCTGTTATTGATTTGCTGGAACTATTTTTACATTACACATAACCACGTATAACCTAAAAGGGGTACCACCTTTGATGCAAGTGTAGGGACCCATAGCTCGGAAAAGAAAATAATGAGTACTCAGAGAAGACCTTGTGGATCCTCACTGAACACTTTGATATTTTCTTCCCCTACCACCCCTATTCTTTTAGTGTGTGTGTACATATATCTAACTTTATTTTAAAATGTCATTACATAAAAAGGGTTACAAGATTGGTTACATGCAAGGTACAAGACTACTTGTCACAAGTTGTACAGCTCCTCCAGCTCCTCAGATGGCGGGCAGGAACCATGGATGCAGTGAGCATTTCTTCTCTGGATTGCCACACTAAGGCGCTGAAATAGAAATCTGGCGGTTCTAGGGGTCTCTAGTTGTTTCAGTTAGCTTGGACCCAAGTTTCTTAAAAAAACTTTCAGCACTTTTACCCCAGGCACCAAGTGTCTCAGAGGCAATGGGGACAAAATTGTAGTGGTCATCAAGGTCTCCATATTTACGTGACTTGGCTGCTTCCCGATGATTGGCAGCACCTCCTGCCTGTGCAGCACTGAAGTCAACATATGTGTTGGCTAAGGTTGGAACGCAAGTGTAGTCCCACACCAACTGTCTACCATTCTTCCAGGGGTTCACCGTGATCCCGTCTGGGCGACCGACAGGCTTATCAGAGTTGCGGGGCATGAGGTAACGGGCTCTCTCTCTCTGCTGGACAACCGGCCGTGGTAAGGCTTCTCTTGATAATGTCGTTAACCTCGCCGTGTCTTGCATGCCATCCTCCTGTCCTTTGGCAGAGAAGGCCATGTCGTCCTTACCTGTCGGTCACTGCCTCGCCGCAAATAACAATATATACTACGTATATATATATCAAAATGTTACAGTAAATATTGTAATGTAATTTTTCTATTTGAGCAGCAAAGAAACCCACTCTTGACATCTATGATTTCTTGCAAATAAAGGTATTCCTTGATCTGACATCTAAACATTATATATTTTTACAAATTTCACTGAAGATTGAAACAGTTTTGTCAATAATATTTTGTGCTGTACTTTTTGTTATTCCCCGTGATGAGTAGTGGAGATCAAATTGGACCGCATCACGTATTTTCATTAATATGCACAAGAACGGAACGTCAATACCCTGAATATTTGCAATATTTCTAATATCTGTTAGCACAATATGTTTACCTACTCCGTATGATCTTAAAAGAGGTGTAAACATATTTACAAAAAAGTAGTCATTTGTAATAGGTTGTGGATTTGCAAAGAATTTCTCAGGAGAAAAATCAGCTGGCCGAAGCATTCTATCAATGATCATATCTTCAATAAATAATTTGTTCTTCAAGTTATTATGAAACTGAACATCATACTGCTTTGCATACATCCAGAAATTATCTTTAACATTGTAAGGTGTTGAAATGGTTTGATACATTGGAGTACCATGGAAACCCATAGGGAAGGTCTTGGAGTAACCTTTCATGTAACGACGCGTATCAATGGGAACACGACTCCTAATATTGTAGGCGTCTCGTGTCAAGCCGGCCTCCCTTACTACCTCAACCAGAGCTGTGTTAATTACACTCGTAAATCCAGCATTGAACGATATATTTTCAGACTGACACTTGGCATGAAACTTATCGACGTCTGAGACATCCAGAATAACTTTTTCCAAGAATTTTGTCTGTGCCTGAGATGGTTCTGGGGCTCCGAGAGCTTCAATGAGGACAGAAGTGGCCGGCTCTTGTTTTTTAAGTTTAAGTAATGAACTCAACCGTTCAGGATCATTTTCAAGAGCCAATTTTATTTGTTGGGTAATTTCTGATGTCTGACTGTGGTCTGCAAGTTGACCCAATTGCGAATCGTCAATGGGCTTTCCGCTGAGCATGTCATCAATGACTTTATGGAACCACACAATAAACATCATGATATCAACACCATCAAAGGCTGAATGTTGGAAATCAATTAGAACTGTGTTCTGATATTGAAATTTTTCGTTTATCTCTGGCCTAGGAGGAAGAGCTTCAGGGGTAGATGATAGAAGTCGAACTCGCCACAGTGGTCCATCGGTCAAATTTGTGGGCATGTTTATCAATGACTGCGTTTCCATACTTGGATCTGACCCTTCAACAACCTGACAGATAAAGCAACAACAATTAGTTCAGAAATACAGCCATATGAATCAAAGGCTTAAGTAAGGTAATCCAGATAATAGAGCCAGGTATCAATAACTCTAGAAAAACTTGTTTTATTAAAGAGCCTGAGTTGTTTATAACAGAATAAGCCAGTCAAATTTAACGGGTTAACTAGACCAGTGCTTCACTAATTAACCCATTGAGCACCATTAGTAAACCTAAATATTAGTGTAAATTAACGTAGAGGACAGTGTCTCATCAAAATAACACTGTTGGTTAACCTAAACCCTATGTCCATTGACCTTAGTTATTAAGTCATTTGTTAGTAAACCTTAAGTAGATAAAACTATAAAGTCATTTGTTAGTTAACCTTAAGTGGATAAAGCTATTACAGTCATTTGTTAGTTAACCTTAGTGTGTAAAGCTAATACAGTCATTTTTTAGTTAACCTAATAATAAAGGTGAATTGAGCTCATAAGATCTAGCGCTTGAAGACATAATGGGCTCTAAAATGCCTTCAAACTTCACTTCATCAATAAAACTCAGTAATGTGTTACATAAATTACTGAATTTTTATATTTATTACTTACATAAAATAAGTTTTTATATTATATATTTAATTTAATAAATCAAGACACCATAACTTAAATACTCACCTCAAAATTGAGTAATTATAACTCATTAGTGTCAGTTAAAAATAACCATAATTAGTTATATACTGAGCAAAACAGGTGTGTATACACCAAAAGTATCTATTGTGGCTGCTCTAGCGACCCTCCAGAGGAAGATAGCCCTGAAGACAAACACGAAACCAAATTAAATTTAATGTTTCTGATTAAAAGACAGCTTCTATGATTTTTATTACAGAAAGATTTCATAACGTCCAAAACACTAAATTGTTGGAAATAATTTATTCTCAGTCTTCATCAAAGAATTATTTATTAGTTCTTCCTTAATAATTTTCAGTTTTAAATATGTTCCAGATTTTTTGGATGATTCGTTCACATGAGGAATCTGTAATCATGACCTGTAAATATATTCACATTACAGCTTCTCCCATTGAGTGAACTGTTCATAGAATTATGCTTGATAATTTACAAAATCCATTTGCAGGCTGTTGCAAGCTGCAAGAGTGTTATGTAATCTGGATCTTATGCTGGAATTTTATTGAGGTTCATCACACCTGTATAAACATGACACTGCTGATTAAATACAACATACAGAATGTACCTATTAGCATAAATTTGTCGATGGTACGTTTTCACTAAGAAACAATATAGGAAACTCTGACCTACTTGTGCTAACAGGGTTGAGGATCATTACAGTCTTACCGCTATTACTTGCAAGGGCTATTGGTCTGGTGTGCTCGTGTTCTTGGGATTAAGGTCTATCTACCTATGGAGGTTTATTAACCCTTAAGCTGTATACCATAACTAGAGTTGTTTTAGGTCTATTACAAAAGTCCCACGCATACATGGGGCTCACATTAGCTTTGTCAGGCCTCCAGTAACCATACCCCATTTACAACAACAAATAATCCTGCGTCCCTCATTTTCCTTCAAAGCCTAAGTAGGAAGATGAGGACCATGTCTGGTACATCACCACCCAGTATCTGCCCGTGCTGGGCGGCCACTCTAGGAGACATTAAACTTTTAACAACAACAAATAAGTGATTACAATATAGTAAATCTAACACTCTATAGTAAATCACTTCTTTTCTTCACCTTAAAAGTACGAAAATGAGTTTTGGAGAACTCCTATTTCAATTAAGCCCTGATGCTAAGAAAATAGTTAGAGGGATAGAAGCCCTAAACCAGAAAATAATAAATACAGAATATGCGGTCATATTCAATGAAACATATATATATATATATATATATATATATATATATATATATATATATATATATATATATATATATATATATATATATATATGTCGTACCTAGTAGCCAGAACGCACTTATCAGCCTACTATGCAAGGCCCGATTTGCCTAATAAGCCAAGTTTTCATGAATTAATGTTTTTTCGACAACCTAACCTACCTAACCTAACCTAACCGAACTTTTTCCGCTACCTAACCTAACCTAACCTATAAAGATAGGTTAGGTTAGGTTAGGTAGGGTTGGTTAGGTTCGATCATATATCTACGTTAATTTTAACTCCAATAAAAAAAAAATGACCTCATACATAATGAAATGGGTAGCTTTATCATTTCATAAGAAAAAAATTAGAGAAAATATATTAATTCAGGAAAACTTGGCTTATTAGGCAAATCGGGCCTTGCATAGTAGGCTGATAAGTGCGTTCTAGCTACTAGGTACGACATATATATATATATATATATATATATATATATATATATATATATATATATATATATATATATATATATGTCGTACCTAGTAGCCAGAACTCACTTCTCAGCCTACTATTCAAGGCCCGATTTGCCTAATAAGCCAAGTTTTCCTGAATTAATATATTTACTATAATTTTTTTCTTATGAAATGATAAAGCAACCCTTTTCTCTATGTATGAGGTCATTTTTTTTTTATTGGAGTTAAAATTAACGTAGATATATGACCGAACCTAACCAACCCTACCTAACCTAACCTAACCTATATTTATAGGTAAGGTTAGGTTAGGTAGCCAAAAAAAGCTAGGTTAGGTTAGGTTAGGTAGGTTAGGTAGACGAAAAAACATTAATTCATGAAAACTTGGCTTATTAGGCAAATCGGGCCTTGAATAGTAGGCTGAGAAGTGAGTTCTGGCTATTAGGTACGACATATATATATATATATATATATATGTCGTACCTAGTAGCCAGAACGCTCTTCCGGGCCTACTATGCAAGGCCAGATTTGCCTAATAAGCCAAATTTTCCTGAATTAATATATTTTCTCTAATTTTTTTCTTATGAAATGATAAAGCTACCCAGTTCATTACGTATGAGGTCAATTTTTTTTTATTGGAGTTAAAATTAACGTAGATATATGACCGAACCTACCCAACCCTACCTAACCTAACCTAACCTATCTTTATAGGTTAGGTTAGGTTAGGTAGCCGAAAAAGTTAGGTTAGGTTAGGTTAGGTAGGTTAGGTAGTCGAAAAACAATTAATTCATGAAAACTTGGCTTATTAAGCAAATCGGGCCTTGCATAGTAGGCATAGAAGTGCGTTCTGGCTACTAGGTACGACATATATATATATATATATATATATATATATATATATATATATATATATATATATATATATATATATATATATATATATATATGTCGTACCTAGTAGCCAGAACTCACTTCTCAGCCTACTATTCAAGGCCCGATTTGCCTAATAAGCCAAGTTTTCCTGAATTAATATATTTACTATAATTTTTTTCTTATGAAATGATAAAGCAACCCTTTTCTCTATGTATGAGGTCAATTTTTTTTTATTGGAGTTAAAATTAACGTAGATATATGACCGAACCTAACCAACCCTACCTAACCTAACCTAACCTATATTTATAGGTAAGGTTAGGTTAGGTAGCCAAAAAAAGCTAGGTTAGGTTAGGTTAGGTAGGTTAGGTAGACGAAAAAACATTAATTCATGAAAACTTGGCTTATTAGGCAAATCGGGCCTTGAATAGTAGGCTGAGAAGTGCGTTCTGGCTATTAGGTACGACATATATATATATATATATATATATATATATATATATATATATATATATATATATATATATCGTACCTAGTAGCCAGAACTTACTTCTCAGCCTACTATTCAAGGCCCGATTTGCCTAATAAGCCAAGTTTTCCTGAATTAATATATTTACTATAATTTTTTTCTTATGAAATGATAAAGCAACCCTTTTCTCTATGTATGAGGTCAATTTTTTTTTATTGGAGTTAAAATTAACGTAGATATATGACCGAACCTAACCAACCCTACCTAACCTAACCTAACCTATATTTATAGGTAAGGTTAGGTTAGGTAGCCAAAAAAAGCTAGGTTAAGTTAGGTTAGGTAGGTTAGGTAGACGAAAAAACATTAATTCATGAAAACTTGGCTTATTAGGCAAATCGGGCCTTGAATAGTAGGCTGAGAAGTGCGTTCTGGCTATTAGGTACGACATATATATATATATATATATATATATATATATATATATATATATATATATATATATATATATATATATATATATATATATATATATATATATATATATATATGTTAGCGTTATATGTTAACGCTAGCGTTATATAGCGTTATATGTTACGCTAACATATGTTATATGTTAGCGTAAATTATTGTATATATTATGTGCATGTGTATGTAATATTAACTATTGTGTAACTAGCTTCAAAAAGTTGTCACTTGCTTAGCTAAATAAACTACGGGGTTCAGTTCCTGAACTGATTACGTGCCTTGTAACCCTTTCCACAACCGCCCACAGGATGGGTATGGGGTGCATAATAAAGAAGTATACTGAAAATAGCAAATTTGATAGTTTTTATTAATATTATTAACAAGCTTAGTTATACACATCAATGTGTTGCTACCCTATTCTATATGAAAGATAATACAGTGTAGATCGAACACTAGCTGTAAGTTCACCTAAATATCCCCATCTCTCAGGATGGTTAGTCATACATGGAATCAGGAGGAAACATAAAATGCGAGCACAATATTCTCTAATCTTATGAGTTATTTTGTTTTCTTATTAACAATCTTAATTATACACATCAATGTGCTGCTACCCTATTCTATATGAAAGATTTCACATCATAGATAAAAAAAGTTAGCTATAAGTTCAAATAATATCTCCATCTCACAAGATGGTTAGTCATACATGGCCACATGAAATGGCATAAAATGTGAGCACACTATTCTCTAATCTTATGTGTTATTATTATTTTTTTTATAAACAAACTTAGGTATAAATATCAATGTGCTGCTACTTTATTCTATATGAAAGATTACACAGTGTAGATAAAAACAAAAACTATCT